TAAAAATTTTTTTTGCCGCTTTGGAAAGAGAGCAAGATTGAGAGAAGGAGTTTATGCCACAGACATCCAGCACGGCTGTGTATGGTGATTAATTTTAAGTGGCTTGTATTGATGGATCAAAGGAACACCCTAAACACAGCAGATAAGATCCCAGTCACAGGCTGAAACTGGAGGGGGCAGAAACTAGCCCGGCAAACCAGAGATAAAGAATAGAGAAAAAGACTACAGCAAAGGGCATGGATTCCAGAACTCCTCAGGACTTTTGACTGCTGTTCCCTTGCCTTTCGCGGGGGAAATACTCTCTGTTCTCAGTTTCAAAATATACACCTGTGGAACAAATGTATAAACTAGCTACCCTAAATGAGGACCTAAATGAGTCCTAGAATGAAATATAACAACAATAATAATAATTTGCAATTTACTGACTGCCTACTATGTGCTGGGCACTCAATTCATTATCTCATGTAACGTTCATACCGTTTCTCTAGAGCAGGTATAGTCACCATCCTCATGCATTCTGTCTATTGCTGTTTAACAAACCACCCCAAAACTCAGCGGCTTAAACCAATAATTTCTTATTATCCCTCTGGGTTCTGTGGGTTAACTGGGTTCAGCTGACCACTTCTCTTTCAAGGATTTCATGCAGTTGCTGTAAGAAGTGGCTGGGGCTGGAGACATCTGATGACTCGGTTGTGCTGGACATCCATCATGGCTTCTTCCCTTTGTCTGTCTCCTTAGCTGGGATAGCTGGAACATCTGGAGGCTGGCTGGGCATCTCGTCTTCTCTCTCCACGTCTTCTCCACAGGCCAGTTTGGGCCTCCTCAAAACATGGCAATCTCAGGGGCTGGCCTGGTGGTGCAGCAGTTTAGTTCGCATGTTCTGTTTAGGTGGCCTGGGGTTCGCCGGTTCGGGTCCTGGGTGCAGACCTATATACCATTTGTCAAGCCATGCTGTGGCAGGTGTCCCACGTATAAAGTAAAGGAAGATGAGCACGGTTGTTAGCTCAGGGCCAGTCTTCCTCAGTGAAAAGAGGAGGATTTGTGGCAGATGTTAGCTCAGGACTAATCTTCCTCAAACAAAACAAAACAAAACAAAACAAAACATAGCAATCTCAGAGTAGTCAGATTTCTCCTAAGGAGCTTTCTTTTCCTAGATCGAGTGCTCCAAGAGAATGAGGTGGAAGCTGCAAGGTTTCTTATGGTCTAGCCTCAGAGTCACTTTCATTGGTCAAAAGTGAGTCACGAGACCAATCCAGATTCAAAGCGAGAGGCTTATACAAAGCTGTAGATACTAAGTGGTGTAACTCATTGAGAAACTATCTTTGGAGACTAGCAAATATATATATTTGTAACAAATGAAAATATAAATATTTGTAACAACTCATGTCATAAATGAGAGAATTAAGGTTAAGTTACTTGTCTGCGGTCAAACACCTTGGAGGTAGGTAGTCAAGATGGAGTTCAAATCCAACATGTTATGATTCTACTATGCTACACTCTATCCACTAAATAAAATGATCTATGGAAAAATGAATTAATTTACTAAAACCATATCTATTAAGGCACTGCACAAAAAGACATAAACACACTGCTGGCCTGGTGGCGTAGTGGTTGAGTTTGCACACTCCGCTTCGGTGGCCCAGGGTTCACCAGTTTGGATCCCAGGCACAGACCTATACACTGTTTATCAAGCCGTGCTGGGATAGGCATCCCACATACAAAGTAGAGGAAGGTGGGTACGGATGTCAGCTCAGGGCCAATCTTCCTCAAAAAAAAAAAAAAAAGAAAGAAAAAGACATAAACTTATCATCTCCATCCTCTAAAAGCTCTAGAGGGCTGCAGTTTAGTCTGAAAACAACACTGGGTTTAGAATTAGAAGCTCAGAGTTTGAATCCTGACTCTGCAACTCTGAGCAACTCATTTAATGCCCTTGAAATTCAGTTTCCTCAAAGATCATGGGGCTAACAATGCCTTCCCTTTAGCGTTGGTGTAACAATAAAATAAAATGATATATGAGCATGATTTTGCTAGTGAGGGAGTTTTACATAAACAGTAGGATTTAATTTAGAAGAAAAGTTTATATAGCAATGTAAAAGAGGAGAGTGCCTCTTCCTGAGATGTGGGCATGTTGAGGCTTGACAGATGTCAGCCAGGAATGTCCTGGAAGTGATCCCTGCTATTGCTCCAACATTCTCAAGACGCCCTGGGAAGCTCTTTCCATTCCTCTCCTCTCTATAGGTTTCCCTGGGAAAGTCAAACAATCCTTGACCACAGGAGGAACTCCTTTCCTTCACGTGATGGCAGACCACCATTTTGTCAGGGAATAAACGGGGCACCCGGGTCCTAAAGAGCAAGAACTTAGAGGAAATCCACCCCTTAATTTTATTTCTTTTTTTTTCAACTTGGCTTCTAAATGCTTGATGTAGGTAGATCAGTTGGGGATGAAATACTACAGAAGTTCAGAGAGAGCCACAGCTGAACCTGAGTTTGAACTTGAGTGTGACTGTCTGATGCGCCAGGATCAAGAGATTCCAGCCTCACAGACCCGCAGGAGGTGATGGGTGGGGATGGAGGAGAGCAGCTCAAGTCGGATTCTGAGCGGGGCCCATCCACCAGTCTGAGCTCTGGGGAGAGAGCACAGCAGCCTCAGGTAGAAGGTGAAGCGCTCACACTCACGGTTTTCTGTGATGCTCTGGGGAGAGAGCACAGCAGCCTCAGGTAGAAGGTGAAGCGCTCACACTCACGGTTTTCTGTGATGCTCTGGGGAACAAGCAGCGTGGCTTTCCGGCCCAGGTGGCAAAGGGAGAGAGGGCGGGACTTGACCACTTTCTCCTTCCTTCCTGGGACTCCTCGTGCTCTGGCATAGAGAGGCCTGTTTGGGCATGAAGGGTGCTCTGTAGGAAGGGGATGTGAACCCTTGAACTCTGAGAAGTAACGTGAGCGCCATCTTGTTTGTTTGGCTGTGGGTAAATTCAGGATTCAGAACACCTGACTCCTAATACAGACAATCTGTGTATGGCAGTGTTTCCCAAACCTCTCTCCAAGGATTCATTGTTATTCCTTCCCCTCATATGTTTTAAATAATACTACCCATGAAACAAATATAATTTTTTTTAGTGTTAGTGTCCAAGTGATTTTTAGTACATTCACAAAGTTACAACCATCCCCGCTATCTAATGCCATAATATTTTTGTCACACCAAATTGAAATTAACAGTCGTTCTCCATTTCCCGCTCCTCCCCCCACCCTCCCCAGGCCCTGGCAGCCACTAGTCTACATTCTGTCTCTGTGAATTTGCCTAGTCTGGATATTGCGTGCAAATGGAATCATACAGAATGTGGTCTTTCCTGTCTGGCTTCTTTCACTTAGCACAATGTTTTCCTGGTTCATTTATGTTGCAGCCTATACTTTGTTCTTTTTTTAATTTTCAAATCATGTTCCATCATATGGATATACTGCATTTTGTTTATCCATTCGTCAGTTGATGGACAGTTAGGTTGTTTCCACTTTGGGACTATTATAAACACTCATATACAAGTTTTTCTATGGATGTATATTTACAATTCTCTTGGGCATGTATATACTTAGGAGCAGAATTTCTGGGTCACATGGTGACTCCATATTTAACTTTTTGAGAAACTGCCAAACTGTTTCAAATAAAATAGTTTAATCGATAATTTTCAAATTTTTCTTAATAATCCTGTAATCATCAATCAGTGCTTCCGGTCTGCATGAGATAAACTTTGCTACTATGTATATCGACTTCTTATCTTTTTAGCCACAAGCAGAGGAATTTGCTCACTAGCCTATACAGACTAATTTTTAGCAAATGGTAGTTTTCTATAGACTTTTTGAAATATTGCCAATAGCTCGAATACTCTCATTAGGGTACCTTGGAAGGTCCATAGGATCCAGAAACACAAATGGCGAGCGGGGCAAAGAGGAACAACAGATTTTGGAAATGTTTTACTAGAGTTTAGGATATCTATCTCCCTCTCCTTTCCTTCCTTCTCTCCCCCCAACTGGAGACCTTTTTTTTTTAACTACAAAAAAAATTTTTTTAAGCAGTGGACTTATATATGTTTGCCAACTTTATATTTTGCCAGATAAGAACATTAAAAAACCATCTTCTATCACAATGATTTCATTAAAGACAACCCCAGAAAGGTAGATACTAGACTAAAAGACAGTTTTTAAAATTCATTTTAATAACAATTATTATAAACTTTCTAGTTTATTTTTCTTATTTTCTTATGGACCAATGAAAACATCCTCATGGAAAACAAGACAGAGCATACCAAGTGGGGATGGGATAATTAAGTCCCCCAGGCCGCGTTCAAGTATAGATGTTCCTAGCCTCACCCACCTTGCTCTCATCAAGGAAATCCTGTCATTTCCTAGCAAAATTTTCTTCCCTCTAGCGCCTCCTTTCCAAGAAAGTTGGATTTCTCTGCCACCTATGTTCCTAGGCTTCGGTCATTTGAAAACAGGGAGAGAAAGACCAGTAACAGATGCTTAAGAGGTTAAGTTCATCTAAAGAACTGGGAAGGAAAGGGGTGAAGAAAACTGGGAAAGAGGGAAAAACATCTTCTTGGGCTGAGGGTAGTGTTCTTTGGGTGGGTGTGGTGCTGGGGATGGCAGATTACAGAAAGTGTGTGGGGTGGAAGACTTCAAGAGGGGCGACAAGAAGAAATACGAAATGCTGCCAGAATAATGTCAGTCCTCTTCACTATTTTTCAGAAATATTAAACAAGAAGATTGGAACTCCTTTTTTAAAAAATATAGAGACTCGCTCCATGATCCAGGATTCACAAAGGGCTACAAAATTAGACAGTAGATGGCCTTCGGCTCTGGGACCATCAATCTCCCATTATAACTGATATGTCTTCACTCCTTCTCCAAGACATTTTGATACTCTTCCTCTACTCCTATGTGAAGTTTTCTCTCAGGAAAAAAAGAAACTTTATTTGTACAAGGATAGTATACGTGTGCTATATAGACATGAATAATTATCCTTTGGGGTTGGAGGAGATAACTGTAATGGCAGTCTTTACTCATTCCTTAATTCATTTATTTGTTCATGCGTTCAAAAAACATTTGAGTGTCTCCTAAGTGAAAAGATTTTGCCTAAGGACTAACTAGATATGCAGATAAAATTAATGCCTAGGCCTTGAATTAACAAAGGTTTGACCCCAGACATGTAAACAAAATAAATTACAACAGTACACAACAACAACATTACAAGACACAGAGATGGGGAGCGATCAGCTCTATTTCTGGAGGGGCGGGACAGGGGGAGAGTTCAGTACAGATTTCCCAGAGGAGGTGACAACCGGGCCTAAGAAGGTAAACAGCAGCATATCAGGCAGACCAGGTGAGGACATTCCTGCAAGAGAGAACAGGGAAGCATAAACTATTAATGGTTAGACTGTAAAAAGTGTGAGGCTGGGAATGGTGGAAGATTAGGCTGGAGTGCAGGAGTCAGAGCAGGAAGGTGCGTCTGGGACTTTGTCACCGGGCGGGCAGAAAGCTAGTGAAGAGATTGACTCAGAGAGGCAGAATATGATTTGCATTCAGAAAGCCCACTCTAAGATAACGGAGGATAAATTCAAGAGCAGGATAGACAGAGAGAGGCCAATTAGGCAGCTCCTGCAGCAGCTCAGGTAAGAGAGAATCCAGAGAAGCACGAGATAGAGACACAGTCAACTGAGGTTGGGAAAGGGGGACATTAACTTGACTGGGAAGATTTGGAAAGACGTCTGGGAGATGGAATTCGACTATCTTAAAAGAACTGATCTTCAAAGGCACAAACAGAAGGAAAGGGGAACTCCTTGGAGACAGTCTGTATATACTCTAAACCCCCAATGCCTAGAACAGATCAAGTCACATACCAGGCTTTTAGTGTATGTTTGCTAGATGAATGGAAAAGAAATTCCAGGGTATATTACTTATCTCTTGCTGCACGTTAACCCATCCCAAAACTTAGTGACTTAAAATAACCACCGTTTATTTTTGCATTCCTGTCTACAGAGCAGAGGACATCTCTGCTACTCCAGGCCAGGCTTGGTTGATCTCAGTGCCAGCAGCCATCATTCACTCAGGCATCTGCAGTCTCTGGGGGGTTTGTTAGTGTCTGGACGGCTGCCAGGTTGAGGGACAGGGTGACTGAGCCACACATGTCTTATCATCTAGTAGGCCAGCCTGGGCTTGTTCATGGTGACATTAGGGTTCCAAGTGAGTGAACAGGAGCATACAAGGCCTCTTAAGGCTTAGGCTCGGAACATGCATTACATCACTTCTGTTGCATCTTGCTGGCTCAAGAAAGTCACAAGGCCAACCCAAGTGGTGAGGGAAAACTCCACTGCCTGATAAAAGAAAATGGAAAGTCATACTACAAAGGGGTGTGGATACAGTGAGGAAAATAACTGCAACCGATTTTATAATCTACCACACAGGCAGAAGGAAGAGGCTGAGCAGGGTTGGGAGGCTGGAGTGTGTGAGCATAAACAGGGGAGCAAGGACGGACAGCGATGACTCACAGGCAGGCTGCGTGGGAGGGAGTGTATGGAGAAGAAGACTGAGCTGGATAAGCATGCGGAAGCCAGACCATGGAGAGCTTTGAAAGCCAGATTGAGAATGTTTGGTCTGTATTCTCCACTCCCTAGGAAGCTCTCGAAGGTTTTTGAGATAGGAAATGACACCATCAGAAGAAACTTCAACCAATTTGCAAAGTTGGGGTGAATTCATTTTAGGCTCTGGGTGCTTGTCACTCAGGAGTAGGCTGTGCATCCCAGTTATGAGAAAAGCACATAGAGGGCGGGCTCTCCCTCTGGGTCTTCCCCATCATTTCTCCTTGCCCAGGGCTCTCTAAGGTGGCAACGGGACCCAGTCCAAATGCCAAACCAGGAGCTAGCCCATATTTACTGAGACTACCACACGAGGAACAGTAACAATATTCTCAGTGGTGTACAACATGTCTGCAAGCATAGGCCAATTTTTAGCTATTTCTTCCTCTCCTTTGGAAGTATCTTGGTGATAAAATAAATGCAATTATCAATCTCTTATCTTTGTGGGACTTAAATACTAAACCTTGTGGCAGAACCAAGTGGTTATTTTTCAAAGCCCGATCATATTCACTTTTGAACTTTAAGTACACTCAACATGTCCCTTGCACAGGCCTTGAACTAACTCTGGGCCTTGCCATCTCTGTTTAAATTTGGGGAACTTAACCAAAGAAAGGCTAGCAACAGAGTGGTGGATGCTGGGGTGTGAGTAGGCTTGAATCCTAAGCCATCTTACATGACAAAGTCCTTGCCCTCTAAGAATAAACTCCTTCCATTGATCTTTAAGGTGTGCCAAAATTACAAAATAGATCACATCACCCATTCTAAAAATAGCAGCATTTCAGACAGTTTAGCTCTGTGAGGAGGAATCATGGGATGCTCTTCTCCTAACTTTTCACATAATTAATTCCCGTGCATCCTCCAGAGTTCCACTTCCACTATGTGAACTCAGGGCCATGGCCCTCTGGCTCTCTGCTTTATCACTAAGGTCTAACACTTAGTTGGTGCTTAGTGATTATTAGTTGAATGAATACATGAATGAATACTTGAACCAAAGAGAATGGATTAATGAGACTGACAATATTGAGTTCAGCTCTCAGACGTGACACTTGCCAGCTTTGCTTTCCTGGGCAGGTCACTCAGATTTATCACACGTAAAGCAGTGGTAAGAGGCTCCACCTCAGAATTTTCAGGGAAGGAGGTACTACATAAGGTCTGCTACATAGCAGATGCTCAGTAAATACAAGATGAGAATGGGCAAGCTGCAGGAGGAGACAGCCCCGAATTCTGACAAGGTGCAGTTCTATCCAAAATGCCCAGAGGAGGACATATGGAACAAACCAATTCTATTTATCTGCAGCTGGCAGGAAGTGTCGTGAGACCAGTCCCACTTTCTGGGCTCCTGCCATCTCGCCGAATCCATTCCCTTCCTCATTTGGAGGTGGACTTGAAAGTGCTGTCCGTACGTCAGATGGCAGCATGACATGGACCAGATGTGACCTCACGTTGCTAAATAAAGCTAACTCATACTGCAATGGGTTCAACTGTGCCTCTGCCAAAAGATATGTCCGAGTCTTAACCCCTGGTACTTCAGAACATGACCTTATTTGGAAATAGGGTCTTTACAGATGTAATCAAGTTAAGGCAAGGTCATACTGGACTGGGGTGGGCCCTAAAGCCAACGACTGGTGTCTTTGTAAGAGAGAGGAGAGGGAGATTTGGACACAGAAACACGCCCAGGGAAGAAGGCCACATATTGACAGAGACAGAGATTGGACTGATGCAGCTACAAGCCAAACAATGCCAAGGATGGCTGGCAACCACCAGAAGCTGGGAAAGGCGAGGAAGGATTCACCCCTACAGCCTTCAGAGGGAATGCCCCCTGCTGACGCCTTGATTTCAGACTCCCAGCCTCCAGAACTCGGAGAGAATGCATTTCTGTTGCTCTCAGCCACCTAATTTGCGGCCACTTGTTATGGCAGCCCTAGGAAACGAATGCACATACAAACAGCTTTTTTTCTAGTCCCAGAATTTGTTCCTAGCCTTTCCTGGAAAAAGTTTCATCAGCAGAACAAAACACTTGTAGGCAACAGGACATTTTCAAACATGAAAATTAGTAGTCATGGGAGTAAAGGAGGGTAAACAAGGGGTAAGCAAGAGGAGGCAGCAAAAGGGAGAAAGACAAAAAGAAAACCGTAAGGACAAATGTGGCTGTCAGCAGGGTAACAGCAGCCAGAGCCAGCTCCTAGCTGAGCGGAGCGGGGACGGGGGTGGGAGGCAGTGGTGTTGGCGTTGACAGTTGTTGCAGAGGACAGGTGTCAGGAAGTCAGCCTGCCTGCCCAGGACACTTGCAAAGGTTGCACAAGGTCAGACCAGAAGCCAGGGCTGGAAATACCCATGTCAGGTTCTCCCCAGGCATTCAGGCATTCCTTCCATCCTACATCACAGGGGCTCTGGGCTTTCTTATGCTTGCAAAGGGCTAGTTTGGCACTCAGATGGAATTTCTACCTAAGTCATTCCTGGAAAGCCATGTTTCCTGGGAGTTTACTGTATCAGTCTATAATCAACCTTTAATGAGCCATTAGTGTATAGCTCTACTTGTATATTACCTATAGGGACTTGGTCATTCCCTCCTCCCCACCTTCTGTATCCTAAGGTTGGAACCCCAAGGTCCATGAGTAGCTTGGACTCACCAGGGCTCAAGGCCAGGTAAATGGAGCAACAGCGTGGCAGTACCACTGGCCACCCACAGATATGCACAGAGGACTGGTGCATGATCTGTTGTTGCAAATGTCTGTGGCTCCCTGCCCATTTCCTTAGATAAGGGAGAGAAAACTATGGATACATGTAGTGTTCACTAAAATTTCGACTTACATGGCTGTTTTTGAAAGACTCGAAGCTGCCAGTTGATTATAAATGTTATTCAGAAACTATTCTTGAGGGCCCTTTGTGTACAGGACTCTGGACTAAAACTGTGGGACATAGAGTCAAAGATAATAATCATCGGAGGCTCCTAACTGTGTGTGGAAGAAGGAGCCAAGTGAACTTTCAGATACAAAGCTAGATGAAGGGGCGGGCGAAGGCTAGCGGGCAGGCGGCTAGAGGAAGGATCAGTCATGTAGACTCACGTGGTTTTGAGTGCCTACTCTGTGCCAGGGGCTGGAGAGACAAAGAAGAAGCAGCAAGGGCTTTGCCTTGGGGAAGACCGCAGTCAAAATATGTTCAAGATATCCGGCCAGTTTCTGGCAACTTCTTTCCCCCACCCCACTCCTCCACTCACTTCCCTGTCCTTGTCACTCTGGCCTACTTTTTTCACAGACTTCCCTACTCTCTGAAACACTCTTGCTTGTTTACTTGGCCACTTGTTAATTGTCTTTCTCCCCCACTGGAACGTGAGTCCCACAAAAGCTTGTTCTGCACTGGACCCAACCCCTAGAATCTAGGTGCCTGGCAGTTAATAGTCGTTCAACGAATATTTGTTGACTCATGAAATACAGCCCAACAGGAGTAAGATAGGCTGATAACGAAAAGAATTAAGAGCATTGGCTTTGAATCCAGACTACCGGGGTCAAACCTCAGCTCCTCCACTTATTCACTGGTCGACCTTGATCTAGTTACTCAACCTTTGTATGCCTCAGTTTCCCCAATCACAAAATGGGGATACTAACATAACGTGCCTCATAGGAACATTAGGGGGATTAAATGAGTTGATATATACAAAAAGCACTTAAAGCAGGGGTAGGCAAATATTTTCTTAAAGAATCACATAGTAAATATTCTTGGCTTTGTAGGCCATATGGTCTCTCATGCGATGACTCAGCTC